GGACATGTGAGTCCCAGGCTCCCTGCGGCCCAGAGGAAGAGACAGCCGAGCTCATGGCAAAGTGAGTGGGAGAAATAGTAAACCCCTATCCTTGAGTTCCCACCCAGGCATTGTACAGCTATGACTGCTTCAGTGTGCGCCTGCGGGGGTGGCCTGGCTCAACCGCCTGGGACAGACCCCACAAGAGGGGAGGGGTAGGAAGGAGACCCTCCTCTCCAAGCATTCACCCTGTCTCTTTCTGTCCCATCCTGTCAAGTTTCAGAAAATGGCTGTCCTAACAGCTACCCTCTTAGCCCTGCAGGCACAACTTTTTGATGCACCAGCCTGGACTGGGTTAATTTCATTTGTCATCCCTGATCCAAAAGAGCCTACAACTCATGCATTCTGCTCTCTGACTGTGCTTGTGACCCTGTCATTGCTCAGAGAACCCACAATTTGGGCCAAGGTCACGAGCAGCTTAGAGTGGCTCTAAGGCTGCAATCTCAGCCCAGCCACAGGGCTAGGTGCTGCTGCTGACTTGGCGGAGGGTTTGTAGCTTGGCTGCTGAAGGTGATCTTTTCTCTCCCAGGACTTTCAGTGACCATGCTTTCATGCCTGCCTACCGCCTGTGCGTAACTGTCAGGTTTACTCCCTTAATGACTGTTTGGGCATAGAATATGTTCCCCCAAAGGATTTTCTTTTCTTTTCTAATAAGGCATTTTAAGTGTAAAATTATGGTAGCACTAGCTGCCATTATTAACAGAGACCAAGGCTATTTTTAGCACAGTATTATTTATCTTCGTGCTGGGCTGCCGAGCATAGGCCCAAGCCCAGCAGAGTGGGTACCCGACATGTACTACATGTACATGTGTGGTGTGTTCACATGTGCATGTTGGGGTTGGGAGAGAGAATTTTTATGAATCCAGAGCCCAATTTATATGTCAGGGTACCACTAAACGACACCTACAATGATTGTTTTTATTTTTTATTTATTTTTTTGTTAATCCTCACTGGAGGATATTTTTTCCATTGATTCTTTTTAGGGGGGGGGAGGGAGAAAAGCATTGATGTGTGAGAGAGACACATCGATTGGTTGCCTCCTACATGTGCCCTGGGGCCGGGGGAACAAACCCGAAACCCAGGTACATGCCCTTGACTGGAATTGAACCCGTGTGACTCTTCAGTCCACAGGCCGACGCTCTAACCACTGAGGCACGCCAGCCAGGGCTACAATGATCGTTTTTGGAGGGCTAAGCACATGGGTGTGAGCATATTATGACTCCTCTTCAATAGATTCTCTAGGATTGACAATAATTACTGAGTAGGGTGAGGTTCCCCTCCCCCCATAAAAATATCTACTAGTCCCTTAGCTTTGGAATTTGCTAGGATCCCATTATCCTAGCTACAGTACAGGAGGCCTCAGAGGAGCCACCAGAGCCAGCAGTACAAATGTTCTGCTGGGAAAGAGCCCCAAAGAGACTCAGACCACCGAATGTGCCAGCAACAGTAATGCCTGCGAGAAACACAAAGAGTCATAATGATAATATTTACTTTGAGGCTGCTCAGGATTCCAGGCGCAACTGGGCCTGGTTGAACTGGGGAAAAGCATAGAAGAGAAGCAGGATTGAGGCTCACTGAAGTAGGAGGGGAAGGGCAGCTAGCATTCTACCAAGGTCAGGGGTCGATTGCGAAAGGCAGCTGCTCACCTAAGCCTGGCTGCCAGCAGCGGTCACCCTCACAGTCTGCGCTCAGGGGAAACTTGCCACGGTGGGCAGCATTTGCCCATTTCCATAGTGTCGTTCCTGCCGCCATAGCTGCTTTTTGCTGCCAACCTGACGTCACTGCACACGGGCTTGGGAAGAGCTGCAGGAAGCTGGGCGAGCCAGTTCCAGCACAGCACTTTGCTCTGCAAGATCAGGAAGGAGACGGAGCAAGGTCACCGAGCCAGGCATGACCTTGTCCCTGTCCAAAGGCTCCCTGGCCAACTGGAGTTCCTGGAGAGTTTCCTTTCGGGCACCTCCCTTTGGAACTCAGAGCCGTTTCTCTTGCTTTATTCCACCATTCGGAGCTGGAAGGGACTTTAGCTCCATGTGACTGTGAGCTCTGTGGGAACAGGGATTGGGGCTGTCTTGTTCATTGCTGTATCCCCGGCCCCTAAAACTCTGCCTGGCTCCTGTTAGAGGCTTTGTAAATATTTGTTCAGTGACCGAATGAGCCAACATATCATGCCTATGGGATGCGCCAGAGCATATTGGTTATAAGCATGGGCTCCAGTGCCAAACTGCCTCGATTCACGTGCCAGCTCTGCCACTTACTACTTTGTAACCCTGGACCGGTTGCTTTTTTTACACTGTATAGATGAGGAAGGTAAGGTGCAGAGAGGTTGAGAATGCGGGAAAATGCTCACAGCTAGGGAGTAGCTTGGTTAATCCATCTGTAAATTAAGGACAAATAGTATCTACCTCTTAGGCTCATTTGGGGGATTAAATAAGGAAATATGAAGTATTAACAGCAGTGCCTGGCTCATAATGAGTGCTCCATAGATGATAGCTATTATTATTACTACTCTAACCTGCTCGTTTTATGGAGGAGGAGACTGGGGCCCAGAGAACGGGAAGGGCTCTGCTCAGGCCACACAGTCATTTAGTGATAATGTCGCTGGGACTCTGTATTTCATCACTGACAGGAACTTCACTGCACAGGTGCCAGAGGGTACAAATATCAACAGCAAATGAGGAAAAGGGCTAACTAAGCTTTTTTTTTTTCGGTTACAGTGTTGTTTTTTAACATTTTTAAAAAATTGATTTTAAAGAGAGGAAGGGGGAGAGAGAGAAACATCAATCGGTTGCCCCCTGCACATACCCCAACCAGGGATTGAACCCCCAACCTGGGCATGTGTCCTGACCAGGGATTGAACTGGCCACCTTTTGGTGCACAGAATGATGCTCCAGCCAACTGAGCCACACCAGCCAGGGCTATTACAGTGGTTTTGAACTCAGGGTACAGAGGTCAACATCGGACTATCCCAGGGAGTATAGTTTGAAAAAGCATATTTCATAGTACGTGTTTTAAATCAAAATTCTTTTTTTAAAATCTGGTGTTTCCAGAATACTATCTGCAGTGAGTTGAAATCCTCTTGACTGGTGGTGATGACTTAAAAAGGGTTAAGAAACTGCTCCACTATGAGGAGGGAGGAGGAGAGAGAAATTGACCCCTAGGGACTCCTCAGGTTTCCTGCTGGAATCTAATTGCCAATCCCCACCTTCCTGCAGGGCTGTGGAATCTGCTGAGCTGATCTGAATTAGGCTCCATGTGCCCTCCCTCCCACTCAGTACTGGGCGCAGGGCAGCATGGGAGGGGACAGCATCCTAGGCTCAGGCTGAGCCTGTGCCAGCCATTGAGAGAGAGGGCCCCCCTCCCCCCCCTCCNACATGGGAGCACTCAATAGCCATGGGACGAGCTCACTTGATGTTCTGCGCTTTTCTTGTGTTGCATTTATCACGATTCCCTAGATACCTGTGGGTCCTTTTCTTCCAGACATTCGTCATTGGGCATCTAGTTTCCGCAGCCCTTTTGTGCTGGCAGGCATTCGGGTGGTCATTTTCCCTGCTGCCACTCCCTGCTGCCCTGCCCTGCCCTGCTTGCTGGCCTCTATTTCTTCAGCTGTGCAAACAGGGTGGGCCCCTCACTCTGGGTAGTCCTGCTCCTGATGCCTGTGCAAGCCTGAGCTGGGCACTTTCCAGAGTACAGGAAGCTGTCCCCTCCCCTGCTCTCTGAGAATGCTTAGGATCAGAGAACCAGGGAGGCAGCTCTGGGTGCTGGGGAGGCAGGGCCTACCACTCTAGGCTTTCAGCAAAGAGCTCAGGGAACAGAGGAGGGGGTGGAGATGGGAGTGTACAAAGAGAGGCTAAAATGTAGTTTGAACCTCAGCGCCCAGAGGGAAGGGAAGTTAGGGTGTGGCAGCCACCCTTGTGTTTCCACCTCAGAGGTGCTGGCCCCATTTTCAGTTAGCTGCACCCCCACCTTGGGCAGGGAGGGGGTGATACATTCCGTTGCTTGGCCAAGTCTGTCACCTCCCATTGCAAAGGCCTCATCTCACCACATTTTTCTTGGGACCCAAATGCTTCCTGTTCCTTTAGGGAGGAACAAAGGGGCCTCTTCTGGGAGATTCTTTGCTGCTAAGAGGTACAGCAGACCCTGGCTGGAAACCTGATCTGTGCGCAGAACCATTTTCCTGCACCCTGACAATCAAGCCCATTAGTCAGACCTGGCTATGAAATTGGGCAGGGGCCGGGTAGCTGGCTGAATTGAATGTTCTCCTTGTTCTCTGTCTCTCACCACACACAGAAGCTCTCATCAACAGACAGTTTAAAAAGCACCTCCTGCACTCATAGGTCATTTCTTGGGAGAAAACAGTCATGGAAGATCCAAAGCTGGACACACCCAGAGGGTGGAGGGGAGATGGACCATTTGCACTTAAGCCACGGGCAGCTCTGACTCTAGGCCTGGACCGCTTTGTAGATACATGAGGTCAGTCACTAGGGGGGATTTGCCAGGTGAGGATTTGCCCAGTGAAAACCCGCTCTTGACTGTAAAGACAGTCAGTGCTCACATCTCAAGGGTTGGGGTGGGGGGGAGAAGAAGGGCTGATGAGAGCAGAATGGCAGGGTAGTCTAGGTATTCAAAAGGCAGTCCAGCCCTGGCCTGTTTGGCTCAGTGGTTAGAGCATTGGCCCGAGGGCTGAAGGGTCCCGGGTTTGATTCTAGCCGAGGGCACTTACCTCGGTTGCAGGTTCAGTCCTCTGTCCTGGTCAGGGCGCATGCGGGAGACAACCAATCGATGTGTCTCTCTCACATCAATGTCTCTCTCTCTTTCCCCCTCTCTTCCTTCTACTCTCTCTGAAGAGCAATGGAAAAAATATCCTCAGGTGAGGATTAAAAAAATAAAAAGGGAATCCTAGGTAATTAACTACTGAATCTTGTATTCCTGAATTGCTTGGGGTGGGGTGGGGAGCCAAATACAGTTAGGATCCAAGGAGATTGTAAGCGGCTATAGTGCCCAGCCCAGTTGGTGGCCTCCCATCTGATACCTGCCTAACTCCCGTGCCACCAGCTTCCCTCCAATGTTCTCATTTCCTGAACACCCCTTGGCTTATGGCAGTGGCTTGACCTCCCTCAGATCTTCCAGAAATAACCTCCCCAAACCTTCACCCCCACAGCCCTTCCCCCACTTGTCTCCTTGGTGTGAAAGTCAAGACTTTTGAAATTCCAATGGTTTAATTTATGAGTACCCTGCAGCCTGTTAGTTAAACAAACAAATGACTGCTTTGTTTGAAATTTAAGGGGAGGAATAATTTGTGGCCTGCTAAATTCCCTGCCCATTAGCTAAAAATGGTCTCACTGACTGCTCAACCCCAGGGGAGGAGAAGCCTGAGGGCCACACAGTCTCCCCACTGGGACACACATTGGGGCATCTGCAGAGCGCTGTCTGGTCCTGGCAGGGAGGTGACATGGGGACTGAGGGGATATTTATTCGATGAGGGACTGCTGTCCCTCTCTTTTAAAGTTTAAAATAAGCTTTTTAATTTTTAAAATAACAAAAGCTGTACGTGTTCCTCGTAGAAAAGTTGGAAAATACAGAAAAGCATAAAGAAAGAAGTGAAAATCACATAACCCCACCACCCAGACATAACCATTGGTAAGAATATGTTGTATTTCCTCCCAGTCTTTTTCTAGGCATAACTACCTCTCCATCATTGCCTAGAACAGTTTCTTTTTCTAACTATAAAAGCAATGTGTACTCAATGTTCACATAACAGAAAAATGAGGAATAAAAGGAAAATTACCCCAATTCCGCTATCCTGAGATGACTGCTGCTAATATGTTGGTGTAGTTCCTTTGAGGTTTTTTTCCCTTAACTGAGATCAAACAGTCCATTATAGTTCTATGTGCTCTTCACTTAGTGTCTTATCAGGTACACTTTCCCGTGTCAATGAATTTGCATCCAAAACATGATGTGGAATGGCTTCACGGTCCCTGTGTGAATGGACCATAATTTATCCTTTCTCTTTTCAGGAGAGACAGGTTTGGGCAAGTCCACCCTCATGGACACCCTGTTCAACACCAAGTTCGAGGGGGAGCCTGCCACCCACACACAGCCAGGTGTCCAGCTTCGGTCCAATACCTATGACCTCCAAGAGAGCAACGTGGGGCTAAAGCTCACAATCGTTAGCACAGTGGGCTTTGGGGACCAGATCAACAAGGAGGACAGGTAAGGAAGGGGGTGGGGTGGGGAGGCTGGTGGGAGGCTGTGGCGAATAGCTCACGGTGGCGTTCTTGGAGAGACCCCAGATGTCATGGTCTTGCCTAGAGCTCCACTGGGAATGGTGTAGGCAGGTAGCAGATCCCTTATTAGCGCCACCTCCACCCAGGGTCCCTGTCTACAGCAACTGTTCTACTCCACACATTTTGCCAAAAGAAGGGTGCCTTTCTGGTATGCACCGGTAAGGTCTCCTTTCCATTTGGCAGGCATTTACTGAGCATTTACCCGCCTTGTGTCAGGTACCGCTGTGCCCTGACTGTCTGAAAAAAAATGACCTTGTCTCTGCCCTTGAGGCACTCCCGGGGAGGACTGATTTTAAACAAATCAGTTCTGTTGAGTGATATGCTCTGTAAAGGACAGGGTACAAGGTAAAGGACAAATGACAATGAGAACATGAAGGAGAGAACAGTCAATTCCATGCGGGGGAGGTCAGGGAAACCTTCACAGAGGAGGTGGCTCATGTGCTGGCCCTTGAAGAATGAACTGTTTTACCAGACAGACAAGGGCAAGGAGGGAAGGGCATTCCAGGCAAATGTAACTGCTTATACAAAGGCAAAGAGATATGGAAGATTGTGGCATATTCTAGGGAACTGAAGCTTGCTCTGTTTGGCCAGACCAGAGGCAGAGTGACTGACTGTGAAGCTAATGAAACTTAAACTTTGGGGGCCTCACTTACATAAGCCCCTTTCGAGGCCCTGTAACTAATTTTTAGTCATAATGTTATATTATCTTTCTTGGAGGGCCCTTCAAATTGTATAAGCTTAAGACTCCACAAAGCCTGGGTTTGTTCCTGAGCTAGTCTTGGAGTAAGCTGCGGGGAAACTAAAGGAGATGAGCCTGAAGAGGTAGCAGGAACCAACTCCTGGAGGGATCAGAGAACAAGCAGATGTGGAGCCACTGAAGGATTTTAAGAAGTAGAATGAGCCCAGCCGGCGTGGCTCAATGGTTGATCATAGACCAGGTCACGGTTCAATTCCTGGTTGGGGCACATGCCTGGGTTGTGGGCTCTATCCCCCAGTAGGGGGCGTGCAGGAGGCAGCAGATCACTGACTCTCGTCATTGATGTTTCTTTCTTTTTTTTCTTTTTTTTTTAAATATATCTTTATTGATTTCAGAGAGAGGAAAGGAGAGGGAGAAGGAGAGATAGAAACATCAATGATGAGAGAGTCATTGATTGAGCCCGCAACCCGGGCATGTGCCCTGACCGGCAATCGAACCCCTATCGCCTGGATTCTAGGTCGACGCTCAACCGCTGAGCCACGCCCGGCCGGGCTTCATTGATGTTTCTATCTCTCTCTCTCTCTCCCTCTCCCTTCCTCTCTCTGAAATCAATAAAAACATTAAAAAAAAAAAAAAGTAGAATGATGTCATCTAATTGGCTTTTGAAGAAGGTACTTTGAGGTAGACTGGAGCGTAAGAAGATCCATTAGGAGACTGTTGAACCAATTGGACGAGGCCAGAGATAAATCAGGTGTTGAGACAGGGACAAGGAGACGGATTTGATAAATATTGAGTAGTAGGGAGAATCAGCAGAACTTGGAGTGGGGTTGTGAAGGCAAAGAATCTAAAATGAGGCCCAGGTCTCCAGCTTTGGAGAGTAGACAAATGGTGGCATCATTCAGTAAGAGAGGACAGCTTTTAAGGGAACCAGCTCTGTTTTGGACATGTTGAGTTTGAGTTGTGTATGGACCACGAAGAGACATGATGACCTTCAGCACTATGCAGCTGAATATACAGGGTTAGAGGTCAGGGAAGGGTCTGGGCTGGGAATAGAGATTTGGGTTAACAAAGTATGGGTGATATGTTCCACCCATGGACACATGTAAGATCACCTAGGGATCAGAATTGAGCGATCTGAACACTAGGCTGAAGATAAAAACCTTAGGGTGTTAAGTCAGCAGATGGAGGAAAAGACATCCTAAAAGAGGCAGTTCAAGAATAAGCAGAGAGGTAGGAGGAGGTCCGAGGTGTTGAGAATGCTGTGTGAATGAGGGGTGGGGAGAGCTCAGAGATGAGGCTGTGATGTGGGCTGGGGCCAGGGATGGGGAGGGGATCAGACACCATCTGCATTTAACTGGAAGTCACATGGTTATCACACGTGCTTATCCCAGAAAAGGCCATTCACCATTTTGAGCAGTCTCTGCTCATTCTTTGAGGACTCCCTTGCATTTTAGATGGATTGTGTCCCAAATTCTCCTGTTTCTCCCTTAAAGTTACAACAGTCATATTCATTTCTTTACAATGAATAAATATATTTAGCTTCTTAAAAATTGAACTGATTTTTGTTTTCCATTTGAAATTCTAAACAAAGGACACCTCTGCTTTTTATAGGCTTGTTTTCTGTGCGAATCTTATTTGGTTGAGAATGAATTAGACCCTCTGGAAAGGGGAGATTTGGGTCACAATATGAGTGTTTAATCTCAGCTGCGCTTCACTCGGGATCTCGGTCAAGTTTCTATCAGTTCTCAATAATATACATTTAGCACATCTAACATTGGAAAATGCCTCGATGATGGTTTGGGGGCATGGAACTGATACAGCCCCTTAGAGGCAAATCCACTCCCATTACATTTGTAACATCCGTATTGTTTTTCCTGATTATAATAAATATGATACATACTCATACAAAATCAGACACGCTAGTCTCCCTTACCTGTGGTTTCGCTTTCTGCGGTTTCAGTTGCCTGCAGTCAGCCATGATCTGAAAATATGAAATAGGAAATTCCAGAAATAAACAGTTCATGTTTTCAATTGCACACCGTTCTGAGTAGCGTGATGGAATCTTGGCATCATTCCGCTGTGTCCCACGCGGGTCACAGCCTCCCGTTGTCCGGGGTAACCGTGCTGTGACCCTCCCATGCGATCAAATCGACTCTCACGGTATCGCAGTGCTTGTGTTCAGGTCGCCCTTATTTTACTTAATAACAGCCCCCAGACACAAGAGTAGGGATGCTGGCAATTCGGATATGCCGAAGAGAAGCCTTAACGTGCTTTCTTTAAGTGAAAAGGTGAGTACAGTATAGACAGTGCAATAACATATTTAGAGAGAGAGGGACAGCACATTGACATAACTTTTATTACAGCATACTGTTTAATTTTTTAAAAAAATATATCTTTATTGATTTCAGAAAGAGGAAAGGAGAGGGAGAGAGAGAGATAGAAACATCAATGATGAGAGAGACATTGATCGGCTGCCTCCTGCACGCCCCCCCAAACTGGGGATCGAACCCACAACCCGGGCCTGTGCCCTGACCGGGAATCGAACCCCGATCGCTTGGATCCTAGGTTGACGCTCAACCGCTGAGCCATGCCCAGCCAGGCTTAATTTTTTTTGTTATCCTCACCAGAGGATATTTTTTTCCATTCCTTTTCAGAGAGAATGGAAGGGAGAGAGAGAGAGAGATTGGTTGCCTCCCGCAAGCGCCCCACCCAGGGCTGGGGATGGAGCCTGCAACCGAGGTACGAGGTACGTGTCCTTGACTAGGATCAAACCCGAGACCCTTCAGTCTGTGGGCTGACGCTCTAACCACTGCGCCAAACCGGCTGGGGCCAGTATACTGTCATAATTGTTCTATTTTATTATCAGTTACTCTTGTTAATCTCTCACTGTGCCCAATTTATAAATTAAACTTTATCCCAGGTGTGTATGTATAGGAAAAACATAGCACATTCAGGGGTCATCCTATCTGTAGTTTTGGGCATCCCCTGGGGGTTTTGGACCATATTCCCTGTGGATAAGGGGGATCCTGTAAGAGAAACTCAAATAAGTAGGAACGAAAAGCCTCCCTGAAACTAGGCTGGGGAGCAGAGGTTGAGTAAGCTCCAGGGATTTGTAATAAAGAAAAACCCAGTGTTTCCTCCATACTGACAAGGCCATTTGGGCGTAGATAGGTCAGTGCAGCTGCATGGAAATGGCATCAGAATGCCTGCCTTCCCCGGGTACACCGCTAACCTGAGGGGAGCAGTGATGGATGCCATCATTCATTTTCCCTGGAATAAGCCGCCCTAGAAAAGATGCTGGAGCAAAAGGAACCCAAGAGGGAGACAGAAGGACTGGCTGGAAAGGGGCAGACTTAGGAACTAAGCTTTGGTCTCACTCAGGCAGACCTAGGTTCAAATCCCATCTTGCCACTTTTTTAGCCCAGGGATCTTGGACAAGTGTTTTGTGCCAGTCTCAGCACCAGTCTTGTGGCTGGATTGGCCTTTGTGGTTTTTATTATGATTGGAAGACACCCTTGGCATCAACCACCAGGAAACTTGGAGGGAGGGAGGTTTATTATTCACAGGTCTTGGAGAGCACAGGGAGGGAAAGAGAGCACAGGGGCCTGGGGTTCTGCTTTGATTGTGGTTGAGGGTGCGAGGCTAAGGTTTTGTGGGCTCAGTGGATATAAAACATAAGAGCAGGGCCCTGGCTGGTTTTGCTCAGTGGTTAGAGCTTTGGTTTGCAAACTTAAGAGTCGGTCCTGGGTGCGATTCTGGCCAAGGGCACGTACTTCAGTTGTAGACTCGATCCCCAGCCCCAGTTGGGGCACCTGTGGGAGGCAACCAATCTCCCCCCCCCCCTTCCACTCTCTCTGAAAAGCAATGGAAAAAATATCCCCCGATGAGGATTTAAAAACAAACAAACGTAAGAGCAGGAATTTAAAGTGCAGAAAGAAAAAAACTAGTGGTCTAAAAGTTCAGTTATGGAAATCAACCAAGATCCCTAAAACAAAGGAGCTTGAGGTGGGGGGGCCACCCTGGCTCTTTATCTTTAAGTGGCTGGAGACCTGTTTACTCAGATAGCGGACTTTGAAGTGGCTGCCTTGGCAATCAAAGCTTAAGTCAGGCACTTGCATTATAAAAGAGGAAAACAACTGTCAGGGCTTACTGTACCACTAGACACAAATTCTCCATGCCTCAGTGTTCTCACCTGTAAAGTGGGAATGATGATAAAACTACTGTCTACC